AATTTGAATATTGAAGCGCATTATTAACATACAACTCATTGCTTCAGTTTGTGCTGATGTGCTCATGCTTAATTCAGATCCTCCTAGTACATTACCAGCTCTCACTGTGATGGTATAGTTCATACCACTGTACAGACCTATTAATGTATAACTGTATGTTGTAGTGGACTGATGAGGACCAACAGAGACTGTCTCATTCACTGATGATAACTGGGGACAAGATGGAGTATAGGAGATGGTGTAGTATGTTACATAGTTGTCACTACTGGGAATAGACCAGTTCACTGTAATACCAGTGGTTGAGACATTAGATACTGAGAGACTAGTTACTGGACTAGGAACTACAACAGATATCAATTACATTCTCTCAATCATAATAACTCACCATCAAATCTTAACACTCTTACTGTACTATTAACTGAAGGAAGATCTATATATGAGTACACACTGATGGTATAGGTACTCATTGGTGAGAGATCTGTTAGTACAATTTCATCTTCACTGGTAGATACTATATTTCTTTTTACACCTCCAGTAGTATACTCAATCACATATCCATTAGTTTCTGATGAACTGGTCCAGTTCACATTGATACTAGTAGCATATAATATAAACCCTCTCACATTATTTGGAGGACCAATAGGAGCTAGAAAAGAGACAAAGGTATCTACTATTGACTAAAGTATAATCACACCATGTAATATCACAGATTGACTGTAGTTGACTCCTCCAATCATTGCTATACAGGTAACATTAACTGACACTCCCAGTGGATCAGGATATACCAGTAGTGTGTTGTTGTATGTGAAGAAATCAATTGATGAATAGTTTGAGTTACTCTTCATCACTCCATTCACTAACCAGTAAACATCAGTTGAAGGATTTATAATATCACTAGTTGTGAGACAATCAATACAATATTGAGTGTTATTGAGCTGTGTAATGGATGAGACTAGTGTCCAATTGATTGAATTAATAACTAGAAATACATCAAAAATGTTACAAGTACATTAAAAGGTGCAGTAGCAATACCTGGTAAGGTCTGTACACTGATTGTACTAGCAGGTCCCAGTAATTGTTGATAGGCTCTGACTGTGATGCTATAAGTTGTTCCTCCTCTCAGTCCATT